AACCCCCAACTCTTGGCTACTACTAATAAACTTTCTACTTTATAAATGTTCCTATTCTGGACATTTTGTATAAATGGGGCCATATAATATGTGGTCTTTTATGGCTGCCTTCTTTCACTTAGCACAGTGTTTTGAAGGTCAGTCCACCTTGTAACATGGGCATTTGGGTTGTTTCCACTTTTTGACTATTACAAATAGTGCTGCTATGAACATTCACATACATGTTTTTGTGTGGACATGTTTTTGTTTCTCTTGGGTACATATATAGCAATGGATTCCCTGGGTAATTCATATGGAACTCTTATGTTTAACCTTTGGAGGAACTGTCAGACTGTTTTCCAAAGTGGCTGCACCATTTTACATTTCCACCAGCAGTGTCTGATGGTTCCAATTTCTCCACATCCTCACCTACACTTGCCATTATCTATCTTTATGATTATAGCCAACCTCATAAGTGTATTAAGACATTTATTTTTAAGGCTTATGGTACATTTGATAGGGCAGCTGAATTTGGTATGTTATGTGGTTCTTGAGATACAGACCTAAAATAGTGATCTTTTCTGAATTTAGATAATCCTATATAATAAAAGCCTAATAAGCAAATCAACCAAACGGCAGAACGACCAGTTGCTATGATGCGCATTGACCACAGGGGGACAGACGCTCAACGCAGGAGCTGCCCCCAGCCCGCAGGCCCCAGGCCAGCCAAGGCGGGTGCGAGAGGACGCCCCCCCATCACCCCACCAGTTGTCCCTCAGAGGGAGGCAACCGGTGGCGAGGGGTGGGGCCATCGAATGGCGGCGCCAGGCCAGCCAAGGCACGTGCCAATGGGGGCCCCCTGACTGCCCTGCTGGTTGCCCCACAGATTGGCCCTGATCGTCGGCCAGGCCTAGGGACCCTACCCGTGCACGAATTTCATACACCAGGCCTCTAGTCATTTTATAAAATCTTATGAGTTTTCCCTTCTTTGTGTGTATCATTCTTTTTTTTTTTTAAATTCAAATCTACATCTTTCTTTTTTTTCTTTTTTTAAAAATATATTTTATTGATTTTTTACAGAGAGGAAGGGAGAGGGATAGAGAGTTATAAATATCGATGAGAGAGAAACATCAATCAGCTGCCTCCTGCACACCCCCTACTGGGGATGTGCCCGCAACCAAGGTACATGCCCTTGA